TTACTACAATTTCTCTGAAGAACTGTACAGGGACTTCACTTCTGCCAGGAGCTATATAAACATACAATAAAAAGCGAGCTTCTGCTAGGAGTAGTTTACTAACATACTGTCAGGCCAACAATACACCAAATGCATGCAAACAGATGGTAGACCCAAGGAAACAACACTGGAACTAGTTATACAGGTCAACATTCATAGATAATCGTTGATCACCTGCTAGTCATCATCAAGGCTGCTTAATGGGAAAGGAGAATTTTAAAAGCATGACAGAGCATAAAAGAATGGCACTAGATCTGTAGCTGGTAACAGGGACTTCCTCTCATGCTCTTTTTTTTGGTAGGGGGAAGATGGGAGACCCATTAAGGTGCAAATCTGAAAATTCAACAAGTTAGTCGTGGTTATTTGCTTTTCAGAGAAGMAGATCAGTGCTGAATGGCAGGGAATTGCTCGGGCAGGGGCAGATTATAAAAGATGGGAAATGAAGGCAAGTTGCTATGGAAGCATTAKGGAGAAGGCAGCTAGTGAGTTCTGAGCATTATCTTAAGTATTCTCAGAGGAGGAATACTCCTAGAATTAAGAGCTAAGGATGTAATTTGACATGAAGGGAAAAAAGTCTAAGTACTAGTCACATAGACTTCATGGTATGTTAACCTTGCCAGTTTTCTTCAGATTARCTGATTTGTTTTTATTATTTCTTCTTCTTATTTTTAATATATTGCACCTATGACAAGGTTGAGTAATTTGTTCAAAACATATCTAAATTTACTAAATCAAGAGATTCACATATTCAGCTGCTAAAACCACAAAGCAAACAAGCAGTCCATACTTTAAAATACTTGAGGACTGAAGAGAGCTGGAAATAAGTTTAACTATTCCACAATCAAGATGATGTTTAAATGACATCTATTACTTGATAACTGGTTGGTTCCACCTTCTTTAACTTGCGTATTGTCCTCACAATCTTATCTAAAGTAATTGCACTTTGGATTTGTGGCACATTTCTGAGTTTTATTACACACAATAAAAGTCATACAGAGTGTAATCATCTGACAATTAGAGAGAACAGCTGCCATCATCACTAAGAGAAAGAACTATAGGCAGTATGTGCACAAGGAGAGAGCAATGGCATACATACACATGTAATTAATATAACACAGTGGGCTTTTTTTCCCCTATTCTATTTGTTTCTATTTTATTTCTATTTTTATTTAATTTCGATCTCATAATGATATAACACTTCAGGAAACAAGCTCATCACAGTAGCAATCCCCTATTAAATGTGCGTGTAGTGTGCACATTCTTCATGGAAGAAAGATAAACCTGTGTTTTTCTGGTCRAGAGCAGCTTACCAAATCTTTCATCACTGTATATGCACAGAGACAAAACAGCAGCACTGGAGATACATTCAGGGAGAATCCCTCCTGGTCAAGGAGGGTTACGGCCTCTCTCTGCTGAGAGCAGCTGTCAGGCAGGGAAGTCTAATGGCCTGCCCATTAGCAAGGCTAGCATCTTAAAAATAATAACTTCTCATAGCCAGTGCCTATCCCAGCTGCTTGTTTTCTTCATCAGAAACAAAGGACACAGAGAATGTAAATCCTGCACACCTCCGTTGGCTAGACATTCCCTCATGTAAGGAAAATTTACTGCCAGATACAGTATAGCTCAGATGACACATCAAACGGGTAGCAGACTGCATCCTTTTCCTTTTCTGTCTGTTTAGTTTGGTAGACAGTTTCTCTTTGGGACCTTTTTTCTTTCCCAAATCATAACTGAAATCAAAGTCTATGAGCCTGAAATTACTGCAATCTTGCAGAGATTTATACATCATATTGCCACTGAAATGACATAAATCTCTTCTGAAATACTTACATAGATCCAGCTCGCCCATAAACTACAGTTTGTGCTCACTTTTTAAAGGAAACCTTCAGATCTTTGCAATCTCCCCTACAGAAAGGGCCCAGTGGAGATGAAGGAGAGCTATTCTTTACAGAGTTAATATGCGAAGCAACGCTGAGAGGACCTGCAGAAATTTCAAGTGCATTGCAATTGTAAAACRTGGACAAATTGTAAAATGTGGGTAAAAAAAAAGGGGAGGTTTGTTCTAAAATCCCACAACTTCTATTTTGTTTTCAAAACAGGCTGTACAGCAACTGCACAATCCTGGTGAGAAGTAGCAAGGCAGATCGCGCCTGTCAACACCAGCTCCAAGCAAGTCTAAGGCAGGAGGGCAGCCCATAACCATTCAGTTGGCTTTAAATACTGCAAGTTGAAACAAAGGTGAAAATGGACCGTCAAAAAAGTCATACAGGATCACTCTGATTCAGATTCAGAAAAGCGCGTAAGGCAGAGACTGGACTGGTACCTTCAAGACGTGCATAATTTAGTGCCTGTTCTAGAATAAAAGACTTCACAAAAAATAGCTGAAATGTCTGATGTTACTTAGGAGAAACCCAGATGTGGAGGTAAAACTAGTCAGTCAGATGCCAACTACTATGCACAGATGGAAATCAAAAAGTGAGAAAGCGTTTAGTGTGCATCTAGGGCATTTCCTATTCACTGTTATCACTTTTTTTTTCCTACTACAGAATTACATTAAGCAATAAATCTTTCATGTAGCTGAATGCATTTTTATCCCCGCATGAATAATGCTTGATGATTATGATGAGATGTAAAAGTTGTTGATTACCTTAAACTACTCCAGTGTATTCTGCCATTGGTCTAATGCACTGACACTGTAGGGTGTTACAGCCTGCTGTGATTATAGAGAAGGCACTTTGCAATGTGCAGAATGTACGGGTGGAAGAACTGAAAAAAAAAAATGTGACTATGACCCGTGAAGGTAACTCATCATGTCCTGCTATATACTGTGAAACTACGAGAAAGATATCCTGACACCATTTGCACGCTGTTGGAAAGTGTATTGTTACCAGGCTGAAATTTCACCTGGTTTCAGCCACAGATTAGAAGTCAGGTCTCTCATTGCTGTGCTTACCCTACAGTTAAGCTGTCAATACTATATTTCATGTCATATCTTATTCTGTTCTCTTCTGTAAATTTGACTATGGAGAAACTGTCATGTACTCTGTGGCAACAATACTGCCTTGAAATGGAAGGAATAGGGGAAAGTCATAACTATTAATGCAATATAGTAAATAAAAATCCACAGATTTTCTATAGATGGTACTGGAAAGAAGATGCAATAATTTTCTTAAGAACTAGAAACTCTAAGAAACATTAGAGTGCAGTTGTTATAGAAAGACAGTCTTCTGACAAGTCCAGAAATTATTCTGCCTGAGTAGAGAGGTTTTACACAGTTGAACTCTGCATTTCTAGAAGCAACTAGGAACAGCCACATAACTCATGTTCTCCAGAGTCCTATCTTCAAGGCCAATAAACCCCAGCGAGGGGCTCAAAAGTACATGCAAGGTACCAGGAATTGCCTGCATACAACTTCCTGGTTTCCAGGCACAAATGTCAGCACAAAAAGATTATGACTAAAGCAAAGGCACTTTTTTTGATTAGGATTTTTGTATTCAGCACTTTGTTTATTTAATATAAATGTACTCCCATTAAAATACTATTCAAGTTATACGATTAGAAATATTTGAACTTATCTTACTTTTTCTTTGCAAGCAGATGATTAAGGCACCCTACCTSGATTTTCTTTCTTTTGCCACTTCATTCTGCCATATGCAAAGAAAAGAAAAATCAAGCCAAGTTTTCTTTCAAAAGGAAAGATTTATTGTTCAAAGGGAGTGCACTTATTTGAGTAAACATATGCTGTGTAGTACTTATTATATTTGACATAACCTTGATAATTACTCACTTCAGAAGTATGAAAGGCTGATACTTGTATATCTAATATGAACCTCAGCCCTCAAATTAAGGGTAAATGCAAAACTAATCCCCAAGAAGTTCAAATTTGTAACTCCAAAGTGTTACAAGGAAACATACAAAGAACTAAAGATCAATAAATTCAAAGAATTTAAAACAAGCATCARATTAAAAAAGTACACCAAGTAAAACAAAACCAAAACAAATGCTTGGAGAAAAGCCTTGTGTAAATTACTGTCCAAGAACACTCCAGGTGGGATGCACCATTCAAATGACACATTTTATTTGTCACTCAAAAGAGCCCAGATAACACACCTGTATATATACCTAGGGCTTTTTAGGAAATGTTACTCTGATGGTAGGTGCAGGAAACAAGAGCTCAGCATCTGTCTTCTGTCCCACAGGAAGGCTAAGCAGCGTCAGCCCCTGCTGTCACACAGTACCCACAACGTGGCCACCGCTCAGCTTGCTTCGCCCAGGCCCACATACCCATCCTAGTGCCCATTATGTCACCAGCTTGTTTCTCTCCCAAGCAGCATTGAGATGCTAATCATAGGAAGGAAGTATAGATTCTATAGAAAGTGGGCCAGTGGTTAAGCAGACAAAATCCTTATTGAAATCTCATAAAAAAAAACCACCAACAAAACCCAGTGCCATTGAAGAATGTAAAGTTCTTTGCAAGGGCTGTTTTTCACAGAAAACTGAAAGCCTGGTCATTACAGTCCACTAAAGGATTATATCATGGTTTTGTTTGAACAGAAATGATGTACTCTGTCTTGACCTGAATGCCTGTTCACATAACATGTTTGCTCAAATGTTTTCCACCGACTCAAACATTCAGCCCTCTAATACTCTGACAAGGAGATTAAAGATGTTTTCCTAGATGTCAAAACTTGGGGTGGGAGGGTGGAAAGGGAAGTGATTAATTATTTCTATGTTTTTGTGTCATCCTGTATCTCTATGGCCCTCATTGGGGGACTCCCAAGGTTTCAATTACAAAATTATTTTCTAGCACTAGAAAAGTGTCCAGAAACACTTTTAAAGATGCATTTTATGAATATCTTGACAAGCAAGTGCCCCATTTTGCCAAGCATGCGCAACATTATTTCCTCATCATCCACATCTCCCTTTCAGATGCTTAAAATGTCAAAAGAAAAGTGACTTACTTGCAAATGTCATCTTCTGGGTCCTCAAGCCCAAATCTTTCATCAAAAGTAAGCTGTATCCATACATTTTCATCTACTGCTACTAATCTCCATACTAACACAGTATTGCGCGGGTACGTGTGTGGGAACTTGGGGCTGTGAATACTTCCATTAGTAGTCACAGTAATTATCTTTTCATGTTGAGGATCCTGAACTCCTAGAGGAAAAAGAAAAAAAAAACAGATGCATCAGTCTTTTTGTTTTCTTGAATGTCATTATATAGTACACACAGATAAAGACAGTTTTGTTTTCTTTCTTTCTCTTTCTCTTGTAAGGCACTTTTGCCTTGAAAATCTGTGCAGTAATGATAGACCAGAAAACAATAAATACTGTTTCGCTGGCAAAATACCAAAAGCCCCAGACCAAAGCCTTAGTTGCCGTTCAGAGGGCACAAGTTCAGGTGGAGATGAGAGAGATGTGGCCATGTAGTCCCTTAGACTCAAACACTTAAATGCAAGACTGGTCTCCTCAAAGCCGCCCAAAAGGTTCTATAATGCAGGCTGCCAACTGCTCCAGTTCCTCCTTAGTAGAAAGTGGGCAGAGACCTCCCAGGCTCAGGGAGAGGTCTGCTCGCATGACACAGAGCAGATACTTTAGATTAGTGTCTCCTTATTGGAGACTCTCCTATACCAGTTTGGTCCCCAGTGAGGCTTTTGATGACTGCGTCTGCCCTAACAGCTGTACTGGAACAAGGCCATCCTGATACAGGAAAGAATTGGGGATGCGCTATTAAAAAGCCACTAAGTGCATGAAATGAGGCATTCACTTATTAGTCCCAATAGCAGGGATTCCTTCAAGTTCTTTAGCATTATCAGACAACCAAGGAAATGTAAAATTAAATTAATGTCCTAGCATGTGACAGCAAATGATGTTGAAAGAAATAAACCAACTACTTTTGATCTGGGTATATTTTAACATGTGATATACACTGGAAAGATCTCCAGCTGATAAAACCTAAGACCCAACACATGTCAAATGAAAAACAAAATCCTCAGGCTCTAGCACTGCTATTGTTCTTCTCTTTTTCTTAGACCTTCTACATAGCAAGGTTTGACATTTTAGTCAGCAAAGAGTAACAGTCCTTAGTTACCTAACAATAATTTTATAAATCAACAAATTTGTAGTTTTTACCCTAGAGTTACTCATTGTGTTGTTTTCAGCTATTYATCTTCTTCTGCTATTATTATCTTTTTTTCCTGTTTGTTTCAAAAACAGCATTATGAAGAAAAATACATTTGAAGCTCTGCAAGATGCCTGGCCTTTGCTCTACGATGAAAGTGGACACTGCAATTGTAGCCTTATTTTAGGCGCTTGTAAAGCTGACAGCTAAATGAATGTAATGAAGGAGAAGTTCATAGACACAGCATTGCAATTTTACAAGAATTAATCTGTACTTAACTGTAATTTAAAGTCTGACAAACTCTTGCCTTCAATTTGTGGTATGAAAATGGTACTTTTTAAGTGGAATTTCTGCTCACATAACACTGACGAAGTGTCCTTTTGCCAGTATCCACACACAGTTGCAGAGCACTGACAGTTATGTAGAAACAAGAGAGGCCAGCATGCAGTAACAAGAGAAAGCACAAAAAAAGACTGCGCAAGAAAAAGATTCTTAATTTAGCCCTTTGGTTGGGTTTTTGTTAGCTGAGTCATAAGCATTCTTCTGTAATGTATAGTACGTCAGCTGAGAGCACCGCGCTAACCCCAGCGCCAACAATAATAAAAATGACATTCCCAGAGATTACTACACCAGAGTGTTATTTCCAAAGTATGTAAAGGACCACTATTTCAGACAAACATGTCAAAATGTAGTGTCTGACACAATGGCACTGTATTTAGAGGTTCTTCCCAGCTTTAAAGCACACACAATATTAGAAATCGCATTACATTTTTACAGTATACTAAAATTATAAGATAGCTTTGTCTTTTTTAGTATCATCAAGGCAGCCACAACAGCAGCATACCAAGTAAGCATTGTAAGAGATCCAGCAGTATCAAGTGAGGCGTCACTAAAAAGGGGCAAAAGTAGAAGCTTATGGCAATCTAGTGAACAGAACTTTCACCATCTCAAACGTCTTCATCTCTTACACTAGTATGGAAAAAAATACTCATTTATTTTATGATACAACGGTAGTTCACAAACATATCTAATTCTCACACACATTCCTTGCTCCATTTCAAATATTAGCTTTTGCACAGTGGAATTTCTCCTCTTTCAAAAGCATTATTCTGTATGATTACATAAGGAAGTAACCACTGTCACAAGAGAATGAAGCTTATTATTTGTATCCAGATAAGCAGTAATACTCCTTTTCATCCACTGTGCATAAATCATACAATCCTACCACAAAGTGTAGCCTTCTCCTAGTGGGACCAAGTGGCCATTTGTGCGTGCTCTGAGAGTTTCTTTGGTGTAAACTGGAGCACAACTACCTACGTATGGCCAACATCTGACATTTAATGCAAATGGAGTCTCCATGAAAGGAGTTTACAACTTCTTTGTAAACTTTCTTCTGGCTTTATCTTAGGAATAAATTCTCCTTTAACAGAGAGCAACGAGTTCAGTCAGATTCAGAGCAGTCAAGTGCACAGCTCCCAAGCAAGGAGTGCTTGGCCGGGCACCACCTCAGCCCGGGACGTTCACAAGCAAACAGGGACAAAGCAAGGATGCAAACATTGTGTCTGTGACTATAGGAGGAAGCTTCAGGAAAAAGAGCCCAAGAGGAACCACCTCAAGGGAAAGCTCAAGAAACTAAGAACACTAGAAGGGAAAGACCCCTGAGACGACCTAGGGAGACATTATGGCGATGCTTGATAGGAAAGGACAGCACTAACGTCCACCGCTGACGTTGAAGGATGAGCCGAGGCAGGGCTCTTTGATGTGGTGCGAGATACCATCGCCAGATTTATACGTCCAGCACAGCAGGAAGGCCGCCCCTGGAATTAGGAGATTCCAAGCATTCTGAGGGCAGAGCGCACCCCAACCCTCGCCCTGGCCGCCGCACGCACTATCACGGCCCCGATCAGCGGACGCCGCTGTAAACTGAGATTCAACCCGCTAGCTAGACAAGCTCATTCCTGTCTGCTTCAAAGTATAGGTGTCTCTTTCCCCATGGGCACAATATATTTCACAAAGATCAGTACTGACACTTCTTAAATACAGCAAATGCCTCTTCTTAGTATGTTATAATCACTACATGTTAGTGAGGGTCACAAGGAAAAGCCAGATGCATCAAACATCTGTCTGGAGATGGGAGGAGAGCTGCAAGAAGAGATGAGAGCACCAGGGAGCAGAGGAAGAGCCTCGGAAACCGGCTGCCACCACAGGCCACACTCACTCAAGAAATGGCCAATTCTGGGAAAACCATGTTAAAAAATCCTGCTTATTCAGCCTTTCACACCATAACGTTCTATATATGAGAATGCTGCTAATCATGCATTATTTGTTTCGTTGTATTCAATCTTCCTTAACTGTGAAAATTATGAAATTTTAGGCTTTTAGAAATGGCATTATAAGGCTATCATTGCTTAAAAAGAAAGTCACATTTAAACATTAAGAAAGTTTTCAAACTTGAAATAATTATGGATTAATAACACAGCTCTTTTTCTGGAAGGTAGTAACACTAGTATGTGCAAGTCGTCTGCCTTAAAACTGAGAAACTAAAGGTGGCAAAAACTATTTGTTCACAATTAGAAAACTTTAAAGGGCTACGGGTTTGGTTTATAAGCAATCATAAAAGGATTTCCCTACACTATTCCCACTGAACTCCTGCAACAATCTAAACAGGTTCAGAAACTGAGACTTTGTAGAAGTCTCTTTGAACTGTAACATACTACTCCTTCCTTTTCACCAGACTTTCAAAAGCAGTAAGCTTATTTTCATAAATAACAGCTTGAGGAATAACTTTTTCTATCCTCTATCTTTGATTCAGTCCTCTCCAGACACTTCATAATTATTATCTGAATGTACCATTTGAAATGATATTCAAGTGCTCTGCCAGGTAGAAAGGAAAAAGTGGGAAATGATCTGTTCCTGCCAATAGTTTTGCTCACATGAGGAATGGGTGCCAGGGTAAGAACACTCAAAATCATATTAGCAGGGGCCCCTGGAGACCATGAGTCCAATCTCCTGCTTGCAGTAGAATTAGAGTCAACACCACACCGGGCAGCAATGGCATTTTCTAGCCAAGCCTGGAAAACCAAGGATGGAAACCCAGCAGTGTCTTTGGACAGCCTGTTCCAGCGCTGCACTATCCGCCTACTGAAGACGTTTTCTTCAACATCCAGCCTGAACCTCCCGACCTGCAATTTTTGGCCGTGTGCCTCAAAAACAAAACTGTCACTTCAACTTTGTCACATTTATAACCTCTCTTCAAGTGGTTGTGGGCCCAGTATTAATTAGATWAGCCTTGTTGCTCTCCCTACCTCAAACACCAGACAAGCCCAGTTTACTCAACCTCTGCTCACTACCTGCCACCAGCAACGTGTTGAGCCCTGGAGCTTGGCAGTCCAAGCAACTTCCAAGTTACCTTACAGCTTAGATAAGTTACCTTATCCTAAGCTTAGAGAAGCTTAAGCTTTCTAACCAATCACCTTCAGGAATCATGAATTTTAGCCCTTTAGCCAACAGAGATGGAGGGAAAGGAGGGAGGGGAGGGAGAAGATAATCAAGTCTGAAACTGYAGTAAGACATTTAACCAAGTTTCTGAACAGCTGTATGACTTAATGTCTTGCAGAAGATAATCATGACTCATCATACACTAACAAATCTCTTTTTCAATTTATACTTTAGAACCTTCATATTTTCTGCCAGCCCTTTGCCTCGTACTCTGGCTTTTGCTCAAAGAAGAGGATCCCAATTAAAGTAACCTCTATTAAGATCTGATTTCAGACCAAATTATTTTGGAAAGTCATCTTGGTCCTGAACTTCTCAGCTTTTTAAAGAACTAGTTAAATGCTGTATTTTAGCCAAGTTAAAGAATTTCTTTTGCAAAATGTTAGACACATGTTCTAAGAGTCGTTTATTCTAAAGTGTTTCAAAAAGTATTTAAGTCAAATGTTTAGAGTTAAAGCCTTACCTGCACTGACATCAATACTAAAGCTACCAATGACTTGAATACAAAAGGAATCTCATTTGTACTAAATATTTAATATAGC